TGGAGTAACTTCTATTCATAAGAGCCACCTCAAATAGACCAAAATCATAACAAAATACCACTTAGCTAGGTCTACATGAAAGAGTTGTCAAGGTTGAGACTTTATACCTCCAGAAGATAGATCTAGGTACACAAAGCATGGATCCAAAAGCTCCAAGTCAAGCAATGACTCTTCAAGAAGTTCCTTCTTCCTCCTCAAGCACCAAAAATACTCATAAATCACTTTGAAGCTCAAGAACCACTCAAATGGAGACTAGGGTTTCGCTCTTAGGGTTAGAGAGGATGGAGGCTGAAGGAAATGAGGGTTGGAGGTGATTTAAGGTCTTTGAATAGGGTCTAAGACCCTAAATTAGGGTTTTAGTCTGGCCTGATTAACGCAACACATTTCCTTAGGGAACGCATGGCATATCCAAATGTTCCCATGTCCAAATTGTCATGTACGCCATGCATACCTCCCTTGTTCGCCATGCGTACCTGGTTTGGTCCAAACCCTTCCAAGTTCAAATGATCATAACTTTTGCATCCATTATCCGTTTTCGACGTTATTTATATCAACGGAAAGGTAACGAGAAGCCCTACACTTATATAAACTTTATTTAGTTTGAAAACCAACCGAAATTAAATTCAAAATTCATAAAAGGCCCCAACCAACGCCTTTACCGATACCCTTGTGCACCAAAACACAAACCGAATACAAGATCATCCAAACTACATCATCCACCTCTAAATGAGCTAAAACTCATTTCTTAAAGGGTTCTAATTCTGATAATACCCACTCCTTGATCATAATCCCGTAATTCTCAAATCTGAAGTTTTAAGATTGTCTAACTCCTTGAACCACTACCATTTGAATTCCACTATGAATTCTATACAAAACAAAACTCTTACAACCCTTGAGGCTTCTACTAGAAAACAAAATCATAGACCAATTATCACTGCAGAACACGTATGCTTGATAGAAGGCTCAGATAATCCTTCGAGCAGAGGACTTAACCCTTCAACGATTAGACTCGGATGAGAATTGCGCAACCGGGTCAAATCTTTTACTCTGACATTATTTAACCCAAACTACAAGTGACTTAACATATTTTCCAAATGAGCGACTCCACACACGAGATCCAAATCAATAATATTGCATTGAGTTGTCTTGATGCCCTTCACCAATATAACCAATCAAAGACATAATCACAAGAGCTTGATCTATCACCAAAATTGAATCCATTCCTTACCCTTGAACCCTTCGATTGATGCCCTCGGCCTATAGATACCCCAATACTTATCCCACTGAACCACTACCATTTGAATTCCACTATGAATTCTATACAAAACAAAACACTTCCAACCCTTGAGGCTTCTACTAGAAAACAAGATCATAGACCAATTATCACTGCAGAACACGTATGCTTGATAGAAGGCTTAGATAATCCTTCGAGCAGAAGACTTAACCCTTTAACGTTTAGACTCAGATGAGAATTGCGCAACCGGGTCAAATCTTTTACTCTGAGATTATTTAACCCAAACTGCAAGTGACTTAACATATTTCCCGAATGAGCGACTCCACACACGAGATCCAAATCAATAATATTGCATTGACTTGTCTTGATGCCCTTCACCAATATAACCAATCCAAGACACAATCACAAGAGCTTGATCAATCACCAAAACTGAATCCATTCTTTACCCTTGAACCCTTCGATTGATGCCATCAGCCTATAGATACCCGAATACTTATCCCACTAAAAGAAGAATCCTACACATAAACACTCGCGATGCCCAACTCGAGATCTCAACCGAAAGCTAATCTGATACTTAATTCATAACCCGAGATCCATAGAGTTGCACTTGTATTTCACCCCAAACCTTCTGGTTTACGAAAACCCCTCTCTAGATCAAGATATAAAGGTTCCCAACCATCGCTGATACTACCGGTCTCGCACCTGGTCTAACCACCAGGTTCCCAAAAGTTCAAATAACAAGGCAACCCAGCCTATAAACCCCTTTGCACCACACACCGACCACCCATTTGATCCCACAACTCAAAATTCAAAACCTTGACCCAACGGTCTGTACTAAGTTTCACTTGGAATACCACAATCATATGGGCCTCGCCCACGGGTCCTACTCATCTAGAGCAACACTGGTCCAACTCTGCCTCAGACCCCATCGGTCTCAACCCAAGAAAGAGAGATACTCCTTGACGATCCTGACCGACGTGCCCAAGGAATGAACTGGTTCCCCATCCACGCTCGTGACCATCTCTAACAATAGTTTACCTCGAACTGGTGAATGCTACGATCCCATCGCAGTCTTACAACACATCAACCAACCATAGTTACCACAAATGGCCTTACCATACCTTAATCATCACAACTCCATGCATCCTGAGCTGAAACCTGCATCTAATTGCATCCCGACAGATGTTCAAGACATACTTCGAATTCCGAAGGCATCAACCTAGACTCAACTATAAGACCACTATGCATAACAAAGGGACGCCAACCAATGGTTGGAAGTTACTTGAACTCCCACCTACACAACCTCAATCTGAATAGCCACCTGGGTCGTCTCTCCCCCGGGACGGGTTGTGAAACTTGCCCTAGTTCCACACCCTTCCTAACTCCTAGAAATCCGAATCGATTCTCCCCCAATTGGATTCGACGAAGCTCTCTCTCTCACCTCTTAACTTTGATGGATATCCAACCCATCTACCTCAAATATCATGAACCACTTATAAACTGAGCTAATCAATACGAGTGTTCCATTGCTAGCCAAACTCAATGATCCCCTGACTCTTGAAACCCTGAAGAAGAATACTCTTGAAATCTTAGCCAGTCCGATAATCCAGATCACCTCCCATGATACCATACCACTTCCCTGAGTTCTTATGTTGGCGACTAAAAAACCATAACCTTTTCCCTGAACCGACGAATCTTCATCCTAACTCCCTCTCTCGAAGAATAAATGATTCCTAATCGACTACAAGCTGAGCGAATATAAAACTCCCCTGACATTACCAATGACCAAACAACTCATGCAACTGACACCACCATCTTCCTGCTACTGTTCCTCTCTTAGCAATGGTAGTGTTCGAACCCAACAATTCTTCCATAGGCAACTACTGCTTCTAATAGAACAAATACTAAAACCACTGAACCTTGACGATTACCAGAGAACTAACCTGCTAAATCCTGACCAAAGGCCTTCCACACAATACCCCCGAGCCGATTCTGACCAAAAACCATAATAGAAACCGAACACATTGGAAGCTGCTACACAAGATACAACCCCTCAATAACCCATTAATGATCTTGGCATGCAAAAAGCATATAACAATTCTTTGAGAATATAACCCAAGAATAACAGATAACTAAACCAAAGATAACGCTTACCCCAAACAATATAGAATTCCAAGTACATATATATTGATAACAACCAAAGAGAACGCAAAAGATAACATATCCGCAAAATCACCTGTTGGAGCACGAGCCTTCCCTGCTAGACTTTGAAATGAACGACTCCTCTTTGTTGGGGCTCCTGTCCTATCCCCATGACTATCAGAAATCCGTAAAATAGCTGGAGCAGGTGCACTCATTGCTCCTCCCCTATTCATCGGACAAACAACCCTCATGTAGCCCGTTTGGTCACAGATAAAACATAACGAGCTTGCCTTTTAAGGATAATCCCTGCTGACATGATCGATCCTACTACACTTGTAGCAACCCATACCATTGGAACGACACCCGCACGTGCTGCACTGTCCCTAGCCCTGCTGGCCTCCCAATTACTGATCTGAAACCTTAGGTTTCTTCCTGGGACCCTCCCCTGCCTGCACCTGATCTGGCCCCCTCTTTCCCAGGTGCTCCAAATCGATCTCTTGCTCACAACATGAAAATAGTGCGAGCTCCAACAATAAGCACTACCTCAACACGGATCACGCCCAAGCCCATTATCCAAGATCTCTAGAATCTCCTCCTTAACTAAACCAAAGATCATAGGAGTCAACTTTAGACTACTGTGGGTAATCTCCAACGAGATGAATTCCCGCATCAGATCGCTAATCAACTCAGTACCTACACTTGAGTTGGAACCAGAATCTGAACCTCCTCCCAGAGTGCTCATCACCAAACGGAAATACAACATGCCAATGATCAGAACACACTAAAAAATCCTCCTCCCACAAGCTTCTTAAATTCTCCAAGATTCTCCCCAATTCGAGTATGGATCCTATGTTCTCAATAGTACGGTCCCAATACTACCTTCCACACCTATCCATATTTTCCTCAAGAATCATCTTGAATCCTCTAAGTCACTTACTCACACTAATGCACCAAAAATCCACTAAGCAGCGCCACAAAACCCTCTAAAGCACTTATAAGGCTCTCCTAGGTTCCCAACATTACCCTGCCATCAGCTACTGAAGAACTCCCCATAATGTTAGTCGCCCACCTCATGAATACATTCATATTCACCTAGTAGCTAACCCACATGCCATAACTCATGCTAGAATTCCACCCTCACTGCTAGTTGCCGTGTGCATGCAAATTATACATAGAACATGATCAAATAGTGTCAAATGATAGACTATACCCTAGGACCACAACCAAACAAAGAACATGAAATAAGACCAAATCAATTATTCTAGGGCTATAAGATCCTAATCATATACAGTTTTTAAAGAATACACTTAGCAGTTACTGATACCAATAGATATTTTCATTACATCATAGCATCAAATACTCCCAAGACTACAAAGCATCACACATATCAAGCCAATCTATCCCGGACTAAAGCATACACTTATGGAAGTTCACTTTAATCCCTGATGAAGCATGGAAACATCTCAAAATACGAGCTAAGTTAACAAAATTGGAGTTAGACCAACTTCCCATAAACATTGCCTCATCGACGTAAAACATATGAGGAATCGAAGGGTTGAAATTTGGAATATTAGTATCCTGAATAAAGACTTTTGGCACATTGCTTTCGTAACTACGTTTAGAACTTCCATTGCAATAGTAAAGGAAAAGGGAGATAGGATATTCTTGTCGAACTTGGTGAAAGGGAACTCCTTTAGAGGGGAACGATTAATAATTACGAAGCCAGGGAGGAGTTAAAGACAACGTATTCAATTCCATGATTTTGATTTTTGATTATTTATCATTCCATGATTTTGTCGGTTCATAATAAACTTTGGCCAATGCCTAAGAAACGTGACATAAATAGGCATAAAATAATAACTAAAATAATTAATTAAATACGCGATAACGCTCGTCGAAATGTACGTGGATTGATAAACATGCCACGTGATTGCCATGGACTCCTACAAATCTCCGACTGCACCACCGGACCACCACTTGCACCACCATGTCAATGGCGTCAATTATTTACCGGAAACTTCATCGGCAACCGAACAAGCGACTCAACTACATACAAGTTAGATTGGCATCTGCCGCGACTGGTTTAAGCAACAATGAAAAGAGTAATCAGAGTAATCGGAAGATTGACAAGTTACTAATTGCAAATAGAGGCGAAATCGCTTGCAGGATTATGAGAACGGCGAAACGGTTAGGGATACAGACAGTTGCGGTTTACAGCGATGCTGATAGGCATAGTCTTCATGTGAAGTCAGCTGACGAGGCCGTTCGAATCGGTCCGCCGCCGGCTCGATCTAGTTATCTTAACTCCTCTTCCATTATTGAAGCCGCCGTGCGTACGGGTGCTCAGGTACGATCAGCTTGGTGTTTTGTGTACTTGTAATTTTTGTTTTTAGCAATGTGGAGCTTTCTCATATCATGTGATCATGTCAACTGTTAATAAAGAACGAATTTAGTTTTCTGCAGTAACATCTCAATATTAACAGTTCCATTAGGACGTTAGAGCCCATGAATCGTCTGAATTCTGTTATATGTAGCTATAGTTTCTTATACCGAGAGCATACTGCTGTTCGAATAAAAGCAACTGATTGTTTGCCCTAATTTGTGTGTTCGAACACTTAATGTTCTGTTGCCTGTACAAGAATTGCAGCCGCTTTAAGGATCATGTTTGTGTAATTACTGGGGTATTCTGTGTCATAGATGATGAGAAAATTATCTCAAGCAGGAGATACATGTATTTATTTACTTTATGAAGATGATATTAGCGTCATTAGGTTCATTAGCTTGTTGTTTGTTTAGTTTCTACACATTCAAGGACATAATTCAGTGTGGATGTCGTCTTTTGTTATAGGCTATACATCCAGGTTATGGTTTCTTATCAGAAAATGCAGACTTTGCTCAACTTTGTGAGAATGAGGGATTCACTTTTGTTGGACCTCCTGCATCTGCAATACGTGAAATGGGTGATAAAAGGTACAAATATCTCCAATTTCTTGATTATCTTTGTACTTGTTTATCGAAAAGTATCAATGGCATTGAGAAGCAAGAGATTTCCACTTTCTACATGTTTATATATGTATCAAGACCCATAACATTTATATTATGGGGCCTATGGTGAGCCCACTAGTCATGTCTAAGCTTATCAAAGTCTCTTTACTTCTGTGGGACATACAACAATGCTTCTTAAGGCATATGGAGGGATTTTTAAATGGAAGGGATTAAGTACTCACAGAAACCCTCACTGCTGCAACTGTTCTTGTCCAAAGGACAAGCATTTAAGTATAATAGAGAACAATATTTCAACTGGTGTGGATCGAGTCTAGGGTTTTCTATGGATTATTTCTTTTAAATGCAACATTTCAACTCCCCTCATTCAGTGGTTTTATGTGTCCATTAGCGCATCAAAGAGAATCATGGGTGCAGCAGGTGTGCCACTTGTGCCTGGGTATCATGGTCATGAACAAGATATTGATGTCATGAAATCAGAAGCAGATAAGATCGGATACCCTGTTCTTATAAAGCCCACCCATGGAGGTGGAGGAAAGGTATGTATCTTCTGCAAAGGGGAAAAACAAAAATAATCTAGTATTTATTTTATCTTTGTGTAAATTGATTGTTGAGTTTCAGGGTATGAGGATTGTGGAAAGCCCAAAAGAGTTTGTTGATGCGTTCTTAGGAGCACAACGTGAAGCTGCTGCTTCTTTTGGTGTAAACACAATTTTGCTGGAGAAATATATAACAAGACCAAGACATATAGAAGTCCAGGTAATTTTTAATTATGTTAGAGGATACTTTGGAAGTAGCTTTATATCTATAAGCTTGATTCTGAATTTCATAATGATAGGTATTTGGGGACAAACAAGGCAATGTGGTATACTTATACGAGAGAGATTGCAGTGTGCAAAGAAGACACCAGAAGATAATTGAAGAAGCTCCAGCTGTAATTCATAACATTATACTCATATTTACATTACCTTTTTTCTTTAATTCCCTCTAAAATTTTGGCAAACCTCTTACCTCTGTTCTTCAGCCAGATATCATGAGCGACTTCCGTTCACGTTTAGGTCAAGCTGCTGTATCTGCTGCCAAGGTAATGAAGGAGCCTATAATCTTGTTTTTGCCAAAAATAATAATAATAATAAGATAGTTTGAATGGTTTTACTGATATGGAAGTTTATATCTGATTATTAAAGGCAGTTGGTTATCACAATGCTGGAACAGTTGAGTTCATTGTTGATACTCTCTCTGGTGAATTTTATTTTATGGAGATGAACACTCGTCTTCAGGTACTTCTTTCTTGTAGTTGTGTCATCAGTTTATATTAATCACAGATAGTAGCTAGAGCTAACGAGTAATGAGGGACACTCTTGTTTATTTGTTTATTTATTTTTTCAGGTTGAACATCCTGTGACTGAGATGATTGTTGGTCAAGATCTTGTAGAGTGGCAAATCCGTGTTGCTAATGGAGAATCACTTCCCCTTGGTCAAGCACAGATTCCTATATCAGGTCTCAATTGGTGCTTTCTGTATTGTTTTCTTCTTATGTTCTGTTCTTCCATTCCTTCCCTTTTTTGTTGAAAGACCAAAATGCCCTCAATATGTACCATATGCTTGCACTTTACTTTGAGTCTAGGTTTTCATATAACTTTATTGCAATTTGTAGGGCATGCCTTTGAAGCCCGAATATATGCTGAAAATGTGGCAAGGGGATTTCTTCCAGCAACTGGAGTTCTTCAGTATTTCAGTCCTGTTCCAGTCTCTGAAACTGGTATATGTTTCTGCAATATCTATATGCAAAAATTCCCGAAATGCCCTTTCTCTTCAGGAAATATCACAATTTTGTATTTCAGTTCGAGTTGAGACTGGAGTTGAAGAAGGGGACACTGTAAGCATGCATTATGACCCTATGATTGCTAAGCTTGTAGTATGGGGGGAGAATCGAGCTGCTGCATTAGTTAAATTAAAAGATTCGTTATCAAAGTTTCAGGTAATATGCTTCATCAACTACTCTTTTTTTTTTTTTTTTTTTACCACGCTTAGTTTTTCTAATCTACTTTACTTTTTCAGGTTGCAGGTTTGCCCACGAATATCGAGTTCCTCTACAAACTTGCCAACCACAAGGCATTTGAAAACGGTGAACTTGAAACCCATTTTATCGATCATTTTAAAGACGATTTATTCGTTAATCCAAATGACTCGGTATCAGCTGAGTCAGCGTATGACTCAGCTAAACACAGTGCAGCCTTAGTTGCTGCATGTATTTGTGAAAAGGAACATACGCTTTTAAAGAAAAGCCCCCCTGGTAAACTTGGAAACCTTTTTTTTTTTTTCTTTTTAAAACATTTGCATGTTTTTCATAAAAACGAAACTAGTAAATTAATAATTAAAAATTTATTTATTTTAGGAGGGTTGTCTGTGTGGTATACACATCCTCCATTTAGACCCAACCATCAAGCTACACGCACAATAGAACTAGACTGGGAGAATGAATACCATGATAATAATAATAACTCACAGAATCTCACACTTTCCATAACTTATCTCCCAAACGGAAATTACCTCATCAAGGTAATTCCAAAATTCCACTCGATTTCAGCAATTTACTTTTATTTTTATTACATTCAACTTTGAGAATTTACAGACAGGGGAAAACGGCCTTCCTGAGGTGGAAGTCACGGTGACACATCTTGGAGAGCATGATTTCAGAGTTGAAGCTGATGGTTTAAGCAAAAACGTTAATCTTGCTAGTTATTTCAAGGTGCAAAAAGACGTGAATGCCCTCCTCATCTTCTTTTTACAAAAACACTCCTCGAAAGCTTATCCAACTTTGTTTTTTTTTCTTTCTTTTCTTGATATAGGATGAGAGTGAGCACATTCACATATGGCATGGTTTAGAGCATCATCAGTTTAAGCAAAAAGTGGGGATTGATTTGTTGGATAACCTTGAATCCCACCAACACCGGAATGGGAATCATGATTCCGGATCCCATCCTCCAGGGACTGTGGCTGCTCCCATGGCTGGCCTCGTGGTCAAGGTTCTGGTCAAAAATGGAATGAAGGTTGAAGAAGGTCAACCTATGTTAGTCATGGAAGCAATGAAAATGGAGGTGAGGTTCAAATTTCAAATTAAAAATAATTTTCAATTTTAATCTTTTACTAAAATTTATATATATATGTGTATCCTTGATTGTTAAAAATATAGCATGTGCTGAAGGCACCTACCTCTGGCCTTGTTAGCGGCCTACAAGTCACTCCTGGCCAACAAGTTTCCGACAACACCGTTCTCTTCAATGTCAAGGTTAGACACTTGCTAAAAATAACAACCTACTTTTACAATTATTTTCACATGGATTTTTTTTATTTATATATTAAAAAAGAAAAAAATAAATTTGTTTTTGACAGGCTGTATAACATCATGGTGCAAATATTACTTAAATAACCTTAACATACTATGGCCAGAGAGTAGCTGTTTCCCAAATCCGGTTTGAGGTAAAGACTCGTTGGGCTGTGTATATTAGAGAATTATATTGTATTTGCATTTGCTGATTAAATTTATCATGTACACCTTTTATTGTTGTACCTACTGAGAATAAAACAGGTAAAGTATTTAACAATTACACACCCTATCAAAACTTAGAAAGTTTTAACTAAAAATAAAACAAAGTACAATCGGGATTAAAAAAAAAGAAATTATTGTGTTGTACTATAAGAATAAAAAAATGGACCAGTTCTGATATTGACCTTTACTAGAGAATTATTCGTTTTAACTCATTGCTTAACGTGTTTGAATCAATTTATTTGTCGTGTATGGTTTATGTGTTTATGCCTTTGTGGGGCATATAATTCGTTAGAATCGTAGGATGAATTTTGAAAGCAAAGAACTCCTTGCCTACCCCTGCCCCACTTCCAAATTTTTATTCTTCATTTTTTTTTACATAATCGATAGCAAGGTTTAAGCATATCCAAGAATTTCTTGTGGTTCCATATTCTCGTTAATAAAAATATTGATAGAAATAAGGTGATATAGAAGTCACTAAAATCATGGCTTCATTTTTAATTATGAAATTAAGAGTCGTCTATAAATAGTATTCAAGTTTAAAAAGTAAATAACAAATTGGTTGCTGTTAGTATACGGAATCTAGAACTGACATTTACAAGAATATAAACACTAAAAACAAAACCGCATATGATTGATTCCGATTTACTGAGGATTGGTTTGATTATATCGATCCAACCGAGATTTGCTATGCATTATTTTTTACCAACATGATTTTAGTTCGAAGGAAAATATGGTTTCATTCTTTGTTTGACCAACAAACCGACGAGGTTGGCATTTTGTGTAAAACAAGATTGTTATTTATTCAAAGTATCTAGATTCTAGATTGGTGTTTTATTGTGGAATCTACAAAAAGTGGGGTTGGACAGACAAAGCCAAAGCCAAAGACAAAGCCAATGCCAAATACAATGGATAAGAACCGGCTACATTAGATTTGGTTATCAATTAAATATATATATATATTTTTTTTTTGAAACGCAATAAGTTTATTAGAAATGAAGGTGTTAGGAAAAAAATAAATTACAACTTAGAAATAGAAGAGTAATCAAATAGACTTGGCAACATGGAAATCTATGAAAAGATGATTAATAGTCTCAAAAGAGGAATCATGGGTATAAAGTTGGATCGATATCAAACTCTTTATCAACCAGATTTGCACTCGTGAGCACCCTATTTAACCGAAGCCTCTAAACCAAAATGTTAAGCTCTATGGAACTAAAGAATTATAACTCATAAGACAATCAACCACCTCCAACATGGCATCATCCAGAAAATGCCTAGCAGTAGAAACGGAGTACACACCATAAGATATTAAGATCCAAGTCTCAAAACGATCTGACTCATTGATCAGAAAAGATAAAGGACTGCAAGACGGCTTTAAGATCCGTTCCTCGACCATACCTCTTGGCATTCTATGAAGGAGCTCCCAATCATTATATGTAAACCCCTACCCAAAGATTATTGTCATTCCCAAGAAATTGTCAAATCCATTTAAATAAAAAAATTGATCAAAAGCGAAGAGACTACACACACCAAGGTGGCTTTTACTTTTGCAAGCCATCACTTTTTTCCAACTTAATCAACTCACCTTTCTTTACATTTACAATTTTTGAATGCCTTTAACCCTCTAATAATATGGTTTCACTAATCTATGTGAGACAACCGAAAATATTGTGTTATTTGTTTTTTATCTGCAGATCTTTTTGGTCTTTTCTGTCTAGATTTCACAGATTGTTTGTTTCTTTGAAGATTGCAGACCTAAAAAGGTTTGCGACTCCTCTTTTTGGCGCATATATGGACAAGAGACTTCAAACCTCTGCTGACATTTTCTAGCCTAAAAAACATATACATTTTTTTTTTAACATAGATTTATTTTAATTTTATCTATGATAAAAAAAAATTAATAAAAAAGTTACAATACTTAGAAAAAAAAGGATCGACAAAACAATCATGACCTTTGTAACAAATTTATAAATAAAGATTTAATTACAATAATGGTCATCAGAGCTCTTTATATACATATGGAGAAAAATCGTAATATTGTCTTATATTTTTGTGCCAAATTTTATAAAACATTATTTAATGCAATATCATTCATTTCTTTTTGAAAAAATATTTATTCCTAGGCTTTAATTGATTTAATTAAAAAAATAGAATAAAAATTTTGAAGTCTTTTATCCCTAATTACAATGCTTAGGTATAATTTTGCAACCAAAGTTTGTTGATTCTTATCAAATATATACGTTAATTCATACAATTTTGTTTTCACTTTTTATACAATAATACATAAAATTGATCTAAATTTGTTAATTATCTATAATAAAATCATAAAATCATTAAAAAGTTATTTTAATTTTAAAAAAACTCACTTTAATTAGATTTTAGTTTATTCTAGCAGTATGTAGATGTTAAAAACAAACGGTCTTCTTAGTTAGAACATCATAAAAACTTTGCTGACTTTCTCCTAAACCTTGATTTCGCTACGCTCAATAAGAAGCAAGAACCGCTGAAATTGGTTCGTGTTCCATTTCCAAAGTAAGCCAATCGTCTTTACCCAAGTGTGAACTTTAGATGACTCTCAAGCGGTTATATTCCTTCTTACTGTACTTATAGTTTCAGACTGCAAACGACTGGTCTATCTTCTCTGCAGCAGAGATCTACAGATGTGGTTTGCAACAACATATATTTTGCATCAGAAAAAAGAAACAACACCAATAGGTTGTTATTCAATAACTTAACCCTCTGCAAGATACATGTAACATAGATAGAAAATCATTACAACTGTGAAATAGTTTTTTGCCTACAATAATTTAATATATAACTTTAACCCATAATTCTATTATTCACTTTTTATATTAACAATTGTGAACCTACAAAAACTATGAAATTCTTTTTAAGAAATCGGATAAACAAGTATATACGAATGTTGCTCGGTTATAGATTTTGAAGTAGTACTTAACGTTTGGCTGATTTTACAATAAAAGCGAATTTAATTGACGTTATTAATTGGGAATATTGGAATGAGTGTGATGTGGGACATCTAAGATACGGTATTTCTATACATGTAAAAATAATTTATTTCTGGATAAAAGTTAATGTGCATTTTAATATGTATGGTATTAATTTTGTATTGTCTCGCTGTCTCTTATGATGTTTTGTTTTTATGTATATTAGTCTTGTCGTTCGGTGTAATTTATATATTATCTTTTTCATTATAATTTTATATTCAAATATTTATTATATATTCCTCAACAAATAAATATATTTTTATGAAAATGAGATATCCAAATTTGTGACTTGTGAGCGGTCCCCGTGGATGCTGAGGTACACACGGACACACGGTACACTTACAAGGGGAAAGATACTTATGGTTTGTCGTTTTGTGTAGATCGCAATGTCGTTTCTTGTGGCGGTTCTTACAATGTCGTCGCCGACGCACAATCCCACACTCGTGTATGACTGTAACATATTATACCACTTATATTGCTCCTATTTTTTTTTTTCGTTTAAAAAAAGCGTATATTACTTCTATTTAATAAGGAATAACAAATAAATTTCTTTTGTTTAATTTAGATGAGAAATACACATAACACAGACAATTAGTATATAAAAATATAAAAGTTTTACATAGATAAACGAACAACAAAGTGTATCGTAATCTCTTTTTAGATAACAAAACTAAGGTCCCGTTTGATATACATCCTTTCAGGTCCAAACAAATTTTTCTGGCTGAATGGACCGGAAAGACTGTTTGATTTCCACAAAAAAAAAAAAGATCTTTTCCGGTAAGATTTGTCTTTCCCAGAAAGCCCTAAAATCATATCTTTCTAACTGAATGGGCTGGAAAGACAATTATGCACCAAACTCTGCCTCTTTTTTTTTTCTTGGATTATTAATTTTTTTTAAATAACTTTTTTTTTAATTTATTTTTTATTGAAATATTACTTTTTCATCATTCAGCACAGTCAATCAGATGTACAATCAAATAACATGCTTTATTTTTCAGTCAGAGCACTTTACCAGACAACACTTTCCCAGACAGTAACTATCAAACGGGACCTAATTATTTTACAAACAACATTCATAGACTTGAGGTAATAATATTATTATGCATTATCCATTGGCCTATATTGAGGAGTGTAACGCTCGTAAATTCTGGCTATACAAAATAAGCAATAATTATTAAAATTAAAATCCTTGAATATGATTATATAGTCGTGCGCGCTGCAGACTATATAATACAAGTTTCGTACTAAGAAAAAATATGAAAAATCAGTCGGATCATCGGTAAATCGTAAAAATAAGTGCGTTAAAACACACACACACACACACATATATATATATATATATACATATATATATATATATATATATATATATATGTGTGTGTGTGTGTGTGTGTGTGTGTGTGGAAAGTACAGTCGTCCCGATCCTGAAAATATAAATTTCATAAAAATCCGACTGCATATGAATTAGATATGATTTTTATAAGATGTAAAAATCAGTTGCGCATTTGAAATGTGTGACGTAAAAAGTCACGAAGAGAATGATTCACTTTTAGCTAAAATCATCGAAAGGAAAATCGTAATACTCTTTAAGATAAAAAATTTAGAAAAAAATGTCAAAAACGGAGTCGTACAAGAGAGTTATGATTTTATCAAAATCATTTAATTATATAAAAAATAGGGATGAAAAATAAAGTCAGAATTAGCCGATGAATTCTAAAGTAAAGTTGTTGGTCTCTTCGAGAGCTCTCCGAGGATATAAATAACGTCAAAAACGGATCTCGTATGAAGAATTTACGGAATTTACAAAATCTATGTTTTGCGCCTCATGCGATGCGCGCCGAGTGCGCGACGTACACTTCTATAAGGTGAAAACACGGACCATAGAGAAACTGACACATGACACAAAACGACTGGGGAGACATTGCCTTAATATGCATGTCGTGCACCCCAAAATTTGCCCTATAAATTGCTCATTCATTCCTCCACACCTCTTTTATCATTCTCTCTTGATTTCCTTTGGTTCTAGCCTCATTTTCTTTAGTTTTAGTTTTCAGCGAAACCCTGCGATCCTTGAAGTAGTAGTACCTATCGAAAAGAAGCTCTACCAGTATAATTTCCATACTTTTGTCTAGGAAACCTCTGTAAGTTAAATTACACTAAACTTTATTTTAGTGTAATTTATATTTATAGTCATAAGTCATTATTATGAACCTATAAATAAGATTTATCGGTTATTCCAAGTCATAATATTGATTGATCTACTTACATAACCGATGTTCAGAATGGTCACGTTGGCTTGGTTGTTGGATTTCAGAAATGCTATAATGCCGAAATGATTTCGCCTTCCAACCGTCCTGCATGGTTGATCCTTGTTTGATAGAACTCTCTGTATTCATAAGGATTAGTGAGAAATCTAGACTGCCATTAATCATTAAAGAATAATTAGACTAAGACTTAATAATTATTATATTAGGTCACATGAGAGGAATAGATAAAATACCAAGGAAAAGTTCTGCCCAAATTCCAAGGCATTCACTTCTATCAAATGAGTTCATAGTCTCTTTTATGAACATGATTTAATACAAGTATTAAATATATGATGGGAATCGTATATGAATTATATTCTTATTTTTTGGATTATATGTTAATATATGTATATACCATGTTATGTGTGAACTATATATGGTTTTATTTTATGTTGGGATTAAATAGAAAATATTATATAATAGTATTAGAAGTAGCATTACTGAGAAGATAAAAGAATAATAACACCTAA